TAATAAACCCTACAAATGCTATTGGTAACGGCTGAATGCATATAAATCACTTCTTCTCATTGAGGTCTGCATTTTCTCTGAAATCAGCCTGTAATTGATTAATATGGGCAGACGTCAATTAGGATGTGACCCGAAGTCTTCGTGTTAATAACAAAATGTTCTTAACTATGAAATATTTCCGTCACAAGATAACCACAAGATTCAAGGATATTATTGCAGTCATATCATGGTCCCAGGTTTAATGCTTATCATTTCAATCCTAAACTTTTTCCTACTTGCCTTCTAGAAAATTCGTCCCTCTGCAAGCGCAGTTCACCCAGTGTCGCTACAGAGGGTGGCACGCCTGTCCAAATCCGTTTGGAAAGGAGAAAACATCGTGTGTTCGAGTTTTTCGTCACGGAGCGTAACTACGTAAACGTCTTAGAATATCTCACCCAGACGGCATTCTCAGTGAGTCGGGACTGCTCTCTGCGTCCAACCCAATTTCTTCCATTGTCTGCTTCCTGTTACTTCTTCCTCTACTCTCCATGTTATTCAGTCGTCCCTTCTCACGTTTGTGCTATTTTAAACTCACTTTCAACCTTGGGCTACCTACTCTAAAGGAGGTGGTTAATGAAAACCAGGTCGGTGGTGCGATTCTTCCGCGTGCCGAGGCTGAAATCGTCTTTGGCAAGCTCGTTCCCGTATATAGTTTCCACAGACGTCTTCAGGAGTCATTGGAAGTTCTGGAAGTCAATTGGGACAATGACTCTAGCCGACTCGGAGGACTTCTCCTTCCACACATTGAGGAGATGGATAGAGTGAGTCTCGTCTTTGCAGATCTGCAGCGACATCAATCCTCTGTAATGATGATTCCTCTATGTTGCTTTTTAATTACCATAATCTGGTTTGTTTGTATAATTGCTTTGATCCCTTTCCTTTGCTCTGCTTACTCAACCAAATGATAGCTGCGTTTTTTGGGAACATTGAAAATTTAGCTGTTTAGGTCACTGTTAAAATGATCAATTTTTGGTCCTACTTAATAATTAGCATTTAAACTCTAACAGTAGGTCCATGCCAGATCGTGCTGGTTGCGTGAATACTTTTACTTTTTATTTTAGGTATACTGTCATTACACGCAGTTCTACAGTGCCCCTCATCTTAAACAGCTCGGTGATCAGTACCCTCGCTTCTTGGCCTTCATGCGACAAGTTGAACGCCGTAAGGAGTCCGGACGTCAGAGTCTGTCAGACCTCCTTATTCGACCCGTACAGCGGTTGCCATCAATGCTACTTCTAATGCAAGGTATTTGCCTTCTGTGTAGACTATTCTTTTAAAATTACTTGCTTCCCG